TGAAGATGAAAACAAACCGTTTTGTTCCTTACCTACGTTTCTGACTTATGGAACAAGGCTGTACACTCATGGGTTTCAAGCTTTGGTACCCAAAATGCAAATTTCTCAGCTCAACTGACAGATTTGAATGTAGTAGGTCTCAGATGGGACCCGGGAATCTGGATCTTAAACAGCCTGAAAATTCTGGTTATCGATGAAAAATGGGAGCTAGTGCAAGAAATGTAGCCTCATAGCATCAAAGAGTTGAGTGGAGGTTAAGAGATCAGGATTCTGTCTTAATAGCTTCATGACAAATCAAAGAGAATGTTGAGGGAAAAATCCCAACACTTCAGTTTATAGCAAGGAGATTGTTAGCTACTGAAGGAGATTATTTACATCTAATTTCTCTTTGGTTGTAAATGTACTCTGGTTGGTACACTTTGTGGATAATCACTAATATTACTAATCTTACTACTCAATTATCTTAACAAATTTAGGACATCTATTATCATTTATGGACCAATTTTTATTGCTATGAGTCACAATAGAGAACCCAAAACTAGACCCCAAATATTTGTAAATTTAGTGGCATTTCAAATTACTCCAGAAGAAAAAAAGGATTGATTATTACCTACATGATATTATAGCAACTGTTTTGCCATTTTTTTAAAAGATTTTTAATTTATTTATTATACAGAGATCACAAGTAGGCAGAGAGGCAGGCAGAGAGAGAGAGAGAGAGAAGGAAGCAGGCTCTCTGCTGAGCAGAGAACCCGATGCGGGGCTCAATCCCAGGACCCTGGGATCATGACCTGAGCTGAAGGCAGAGGCTTTAACCCACTGAGCCACCCAGGCACCCCTGTTTTGCCATTTAGATTGAAAAAGAAACTGGATTTCTACTTCACTCTTTACTCCCAAAGAAGTTATAGGTGGATTAAAGATCTGAACTGAAAATAAATAAAGCAGTAAACATGCTAGAGTAAAAAATGAAGACTTCTCTAAAAAAAAAAAAAAAAAAAGAAGACTTCTCTTTAGTATCTTGGCATTACGTAAAACCAACACGTCTAAAAGTTAAAGATAGGCATCTTTGTTTACATAAACTGTTGTGTGATAAAAATATCATAAAAGAGTCAAAACTCAAGCTTAAAATCAAAGATGAAATTAACAACTTGGGAAAGATTTTTGAACAATAAGATTTTTGAAAATAAAGATTTTTGAAAAATAACCCATAAACTATAATTTATGAAATGACGTTTAACCCTGCTCAAAATTACATAAATGCAAATGAAAATAAGATGATTTTTCATCTGTTTCATACAAACTAACATATTTTATAGCATTGGCTTTGAGGAACAGTGAAGAGCACTTGAGCAATCTCTATACAAGTTTAAAATACTCATATTCTTTGATCCAACTGCACTTCTAAAAATGTATTGAAGAACTATAAGTGTACGTGCAACCAGGACAAGGATGATAATTATAGCATTGTTTGTAAAGGTAAAAAACTGGAAATGATGCAAATGATCATTAACAGAGGACTGGTTAAATAATTAATGGTCCATAAATACTTTGTGCTGTTTAAAAAGTATGGTTAGATCTACCTATCTGCACATGGGGGAAAAAAAAACACCAAAATACATTATAAGGTTTAAAAAGAAGAAAGGGGCACCTGGCTAGTTCTGTCGGAAGAGCATGTGACTCATGATCCTTGGGATTATGAGTTTGAGCCCCACGTTGGGTGTAGAAATTACTTAAATAAGTAAGTAGGTAAATAAACTTTAAAAAATAAAAAGAAGTCATACTAAACAATGCGTATATTTCTATATAGTTGAAGGGATTCAGTATAGGATCCGTTGTAGAATGTGCCATTTTGGCATGGGGATTATTTTGAGCTGAAGGCACTTGAGACCCTGTGGGCCCAAGAGAAACTTTGTCCGTCCCTTAACCACATAGAAGAATCTAAATTGGGGGTCTTTCCCAGAATAAGGGTTATTTACAGAGATAAATTTTATCTGAGTGACCCATCTTCATGGTAGGGCAAACATCTAATTACCAAATATCTGCTCTTCTTATCACCCTGTAAAGTGCATTCCTCTCCTTTCAAATCCCAGACCCCTCTCTCTGAAGTCCCACACCCCTGTCACCCAGACCCCTATAAGCTCCTTCTCCTTAGTTCAGCATATATATTTCATTTTGCTTGTCTTCGATGTTTATTTTCAAGCCAATTCCTACAGAAATGGCACTGAGCAGAGTAGATGGAGAGTGGACGCTTGGAAGGATCATAATCTCTGGAATCCATGTCTGTGTGGATTCCCTGTGTATACACCTATTAAATTTGATTTTCTCCTGTTAATCTGTCTCATGACAATTTGGTTCTTAGTCCAGCCAAAAGAACCTTTGAAGGGACAGGAATTCTTGCTCCCTGACACAGTAATACCTCAGAAAATGTATCTATATATGTAGAAAATGTCAGAAAACATTAAGAAACTATTAAAAATGGGGTGCCTTCGTTGGGTCACTGCCTTCAGCTTGGGTCATGATCCTGGAGTCCCGGGATTGAGTCCCACAGCAGGCTCCCTGCTCAGCTGGGAGTATGCTTCTGCCTCTGACCCTCCCCCATCTCATGCTCTCTCTCTCAAAAAAAGAAATTGTTAAAAATTGATTAACTTTGGGAATGGAAGTGAAGATTTTGGGGTAGAAGTAAGACTAATTTTTCATTATACATACTCTTAGATTGCTTGAAAATTTAAAATCGTGTCATGTATTATTAAAATTACTGAAGAATAAACTACTCGAGAAAGCAGGCATTTAACATGCCTCAGCTGTTTTCATTATAGTATAATGTTTGTGATAATTATACTTTGTTAGTAGAAAGATCGAATTATGTTTAATAAAACAAATCAATTAGACATATGAAACATTTACAAAGGTGGTTATTTAAAAAAATATCCAATGTGTAGATGACAAAACTTCATTAGGAAAAATTCATGCATTTAGCCTAGCATGTATGAAATTCACTGTGTCATACTGCTAGGCAAAGATGTGCCTGACACACTCTCTGTAGTGTGATGTGCTTTCAGGACCTTGCCTAGTAAGAGTGACTGGTGGGCCTGTCATCTCATGTTCTTCAGCCAGTCTACTTTCTTGGAAATGGGCACTCCACAAATTTTAGCATCTGGAGAGTAACTATAAATGAATGAGGTGTGGTTTCGATCTCTTACCCACCAGCCCTACCTGTTATCCAAGAGGAGAATGGCCTGATATGGGATAGAACTGTTAGTACAGGAAAACAACTACATAAAAAAATGAGACTTGAAAACATATTTTCAGTACTGGTACTTTAACTGGTTGTAATTGAAAATCGTTATTTCTCCTCCAGTAACTAAAAATTCATTTCTGCAGTTATAATTAAAAGTAATATATGCTCCAAAAAAGTAATATATACTCATTTTTGGAAGTATGGAGAACTATAATTTATACTATATTAACAGAAAGAAATGCCTCTAAATTATGAGTACAAATTCAGTTTCCTCCAACTTCTGTGTTCTATTTATCATGTAAAAGATAATTTGGATGGGGAAGGAAAGTTATGTGTAACTTTTTTATATATACATAGGATAAATGCAGAAACATATAAAAACTAAAAATATCACTCTTTTCTTTTGTTTCAAATTTTTATTTAAATTCTCATTAGTGTAGTATTGGTTTCAGGTGTAGAATGCAGTGATTCAACGTCACTTCTAAATAGGGAAATTGGGGGCGCCTGGGTGGCTCAGTGGGTTAAAGCCTCTGCCTTCGGCTCAGGTCATGATCCCAGGGTCCTGGGATCGAGCCCCGCATCGGGCTCTCTGCTCAGTGGGGAGCCTGCTTCCTCCTCTCTCTCTCTCTCTGCTTGCCTCTCTGCATACTTGTGATCTTGGTCTGTCAAATAAATAAATAAAATCTTAAAAAAAAAATAAATAGGGAAATTGGGAGTCTGTGGAGCAGGAGAGGTCACATGCTGAAGGGACTGTTTTGACAACTCTGTTGTCTAATTTATTTATTTTGCCATATCATGTTTAAGAAAGAATACGAAAACACTATAAACTTTAAAAATACTCTAAGAACTTTCATGAGTCCCTAATATTCCTCATTTTTATACAGAGACGTGAAATAAAGATGAAACCCACTACTGAATCATAAACCAAATGAAAATAACTTAATAAGAGAACACAAGAAGCATCTTATCTACTTAATCACACAGATAAAAAAGAAAAAAGGATCAAAAGAAGGCACAGAGGGAAGGAACAGAATAGAACAAAATGCCGGAATGGAGGGAAAGGAAGCTATCCATAAGACTAGAGAGATTTCCTTCCCCTGAAGCTATAAAGTCTCAAGATTTCCACAGTAAGTCTGCTACTTTGAAAATGTACTGCTAATCCTTCGAGATGTAAATGATAGAAATTCATGAATAATGGTGACAACAATTGTCACCAGAAAAAGGTGAATGGTTAGAGCGGATCCTAAGAAAAACCACTGGAAGGAGATAATGGAAATCTGAAAAGGTGTAAGAACTGAAACAAATCAACTTACCACAGATAATAAATCGCAGAACAATGTTGCTTTCTTTGGTCTATGTCTTTATGTGAAACCAGAGTTGCTTTTTTGTATCCCACAGACCTTCTAAGCCCTCGCCTGGGGAGGTCCTTGGTAGTTTATTTTTAAGCCAATTCCTACAGAAATGGCACTGAGCACAGTAGATGGAGAGTGGACGCTTGGAAGGATCATAATCTCTGGATAAAAGCCAGAGTTGAATCCTGAGGAGCTGGGTAGTTTTAGAGAGACATGGTTTGGGAACCTTGGAGTTAAATGTCCCCAGCTGGCAAGTTGTAACATGTATTTTTTGTTTAGGCGGAAACTGAGCCTTACAGATGTGAAATTTTTAAAAAAGGGAAAAAGTCATGGTTGAGAACTAACCAGTCTTTCTTAGAACTATCTCATGCTTTCTCTATGCATCCTTATCAAATCCAAATACATAGTAATGGATTAGAAAAATCTAAATAGGTACGTGTTTTATTTTTCTGTTTCCTACTAGAATAACGTAAGCCTGGTAATGTTCTGTATCTACTATCTGACATTTACAGTTCCTCTCCTGTTTTAAGTAAACATCAGGTACTTAGCTAATTAAATATAATATTAATAGAGTCTTGTTTATAGGAAAGTGTCCACTTTCAGGATGTTGTGTGTAAGTCTTGATAAAATTACATAGATAATGAGTGTACTCTCTTTTCATAGGCTGACCTTGAAGTCACCACCGCCTGAAAAGGGCTCAAAACAAAAAATGATCTAAGGGTTGAAACAAGATAAGATCAAATTGATGTCATGGTAATTACATGAAGGACCATTCAATCACTGGGTGGAATTTACTGTTGATCCCTGGGCTTAGATGCAGGTGGGCAACATGCAGTTTTTATTACTCTGCTAGTATAAAAGACAAGTGAGAACTTTATTAACTGTAGTTACTGAGAAATCACAAGGCAAAGCTAAAATCCCTCTTCAGATCCACAATCAACTGCCCTGAACACATCCTGCAAAAAGTCCTGAGGAAGGTAATATAAATGAAACAATTTCTGGGATTTTAATTGAGTAAGGAGTATAATATTCTATAATATAGGTCAGCTATGCATAAGCCTTCGTGAGGAGAGAGACAGACATTTACACGTTCTCTTTTCGGCACTCATGATTGAATTGGGAGGAAGTCTGCAAAACTGTGGTCTGTGATCACAGGCTAAGATGTTATCTAACAGAAACCAGAAACCAAATGTCTCCTGCTGAGATCTGCAAGTGCCTGTCAGTATCTAAAAAATTTTCTTCAAGAAATATTGGGTGTCATTTGAAAGACATTAGTTTGAGTGGTTTACATGGGTCAGGTAGAAGGAGAGTAGATATTATATAAGTTGCGGATACTGTTTTACCATCAGTTTTTATTTATTTGTTTATTTATTTATTTAAAGATTTTTGTTTGTTTTAGAGAGAGGGAGAGAGAAAGCATGAGCGAGCATGTTATTTGGGGCAGGGGCAGAGGGAGAAGGGGAGGAGGAATCTCCAGCAGACTCCCCGCTGAGTGGGGAGCCAGACTCTGCTGGGTCCAAGGACCCTGAGATTATGATCTGAGCCAAAATGGAGAGTCGGACGCTTAACAGCCTGAGCCACCCAGGGGCCCCTAATCAGTTTTTAAATGATGCATAACTATATCTTCAATCTGGCCAGTGATAAAGCCGCTCACTTGTTTAGCTGAATGAATGATCATAGCTTCTGGTATCTTCTGAATAGATGTTTTCCTGTAGACGTGAATAGAGTCAAGCTGAAAATTTTTGGACAACATTGTTTGCATTTTCTTCATAAAATGTTACAAAAATAAGAGTCAGAGCTATTTCTCCAGTTACTACTGATGACTTTGTAATTCTGAATCTCCTGACCAAGTCTAGTTGGTTGTGTTCCAATGAGAGTTTCTGGAAACTTTTGTTAACCTTATATTTACATGAGCACTAGTTGAAACGGCAGCTTATTGGGAAAGTGAGGCTAGAAAATAAAAGTGCTCTCTTGTCCCTCTTTATTAGTATCAAGAAATAGGATTTGGGTGCATGGAAGAATTATGGGTCTCTTGGGGAATGCAGAAGCTCCATTTAAACGTCATAGGAGCTTTTATTTCCTAAGCACTTACAATCCTTTCCCCACCCCAAAATAATATTTTTTTTTATATTAGATCAGGGGACTCTTTTTAATTTTCCGAAGATATCTTTTTCTAATTTATTTTTATTTATCTTTTAAAAGATTTTATTTATTTATTTGACAGGGAGAGAGAGATCACAAGTAAGCAGACAGAGAAGGGGGAAGCAATGCAGAGAGCCTGATGTGGTGCTTGATCCCAGGACACTGAGACCATGACCTGAGCTGAAGGCAGAGGCTTAACCCACTGAGCCATCCAGGCACCCCTGAAGATACCTTTTAAATAATTACTTGACCCAACGCCAGATCAACTATTTAAAATATTGGTCATCCAAATTGTATTGTAATACTTTGCTATAGTTTGAATTATTTAAAAAAAGATAAGAACAGTTACCATTTATGAATAGCTCATGTGCTTTCATTTCAATTTTAACTTTGGTTTTGGTTTAAGTTTCCTTTCTCTCTCTCTCTTTTCAGTAATAGAGTTTTTGAAATTTTGAGTCATATTTCTTACCATTTCCTGCTGAAAAGGGTAGCATGTGAACAATGCTAGAAAAGCAATTGATTATGTTCCAGAACAGAGTCTCGGTTTCATTGTACATTTCTTATAAATGTGGGACTCAAATTTACATGAAAACTCAAAGTAAAGCTGTGAAATAGAAAGAGTAAAATTAGAAAGTAATGTACATCTTGTCTAAAAAGAGATCATGATAATCTGCTTTCACAAAGAGAAAATGTATAGGAATCAATTAATATTTCCATTGAGAACAGTACAAACCAAAGCACCAAATTCCCCCCCCCCCTTTTTTTTACAGATGTGAATCCTGGAGTAGTTTGTTATCAATTTATGATCTTTGCAAATTCTGGTCTTGGTGTGTAACATTTCAGCATTACATATTGTAATGTTGTACAAAGTAATCTGGTAATTTCTTGGTTCATCAGACTCAGAGATAACATTATAAAAATGCTCTAGCATCCTTAATACAATAGAGGGTTTAAACAGGGTTTAGGGTTCACAGAGGGTTTAAAAGGGGCTGAGGCTGAACTAGTGTGGAATCAGGGGCAATATTGGGAAACAAATTAGAGAAGACAATTGTAACAGCATGATCTATAGGTAAATCAATGTCCTAAAGGAGGTAATGGATTAACTAAGTAGGGCTATAGAAGTGGTATAGGTGGAAGAAATATGATCTTAGGAACAGATCACTTTCCACGTGACCTTGGCTGATCCCTTTAATTTTCTGAAGCATAGTTTTCTAGTCTAAGAATTCTGTGCCACCACAAGGCTTTCCTCATAGAGATGTAAAAAGATTCAAACAAAGGACTGTTAACGTGAAAGCCAATGTTTCCTCCTTTCTCCCACAGTCAGACACCAGTCCTCACAACTTGATCAGGTATAAAATGCCTCTCTATCCAGATGGAATGGCTTTCTTGAGGCTGTTCTGAAGAAGGTGAAGTCAGATAAATATGTAAAATCAAAAATTACATGGGCAAGTTATATTTAAGCTGGCATAACATAATGTTGCTCTAGACAAAAAAATGTTGGCATCTTATTTAGGGATACACCATCCGAAAAAATCATCTAAGAACGCCATTGTAAAATATAAAGATTTGAAGGCTGTATAGCGAAGTGTGGTTCAGAGCTTGGAGTTTGGAATTGTAAAGAGATATTCGAAAATCTAGGCTCCACTAGCAACAAATTTTGTGACTTTGTCTGGGTTACTTTGCCTCAAGAATTTCTTTAGCCAAAATAAAAGTAATACTTGACAAGATTGTCATCAGCATTGAATATGTTGATGTGTTCAAGGTGCCCAAAAGAATATCTAGCGCACACAAGTGCTCCATTAAATGTAGGAGGTTTTTTTTTTTTTTTAAGATTTTATTTATTTATTTGACAGAGAGATCACAAGCAGGCAGAGAGGCAGGCAGAGAGAGAGGAGGAAGCAGGCTCCGCTAGAGAGCAGAGAGCCCGATGCGGGGCTCGATCCCAGGACTCCGAGATCATGACCTGAGCTGAAGGCAGCGGCTTAACCCACTGAGCCACCCAGGAGCCCCTGTAGGAGTTATTTTTAAAGCAGAGTTCTTATTATTACTGAAGCCAGTATTGCAGATACTGTGTATAATGCTCACTCCAATTTTTTTTTCACACGTTGCTACATTTCCCAAATAGAGTAAACTGAATACGTGTTATAGAAATAACCTCCCACAGAGGAAAAGTAAGAGGACAGTAGAAAGAGGAGAAAGCAGAAAGACAAGATTGGGGTCCTATATTTCAGACCCTGGAGGAAAAATTTTTGTTATAAGAGAGAGCAATAGATATTTGTTCCAGTGATCTATTGCCGTGAATCCAATTACCCCAAAACTTAGTAGGTAAAACAAGCTACTGTTCTGTCAGTTCTGTAGGTGACCCTGGGCTCACCTGGGCTGTTTTTCACTTGGGTTTCTCAGGTGTTTATGGTCAGGTTGTGGCTGGGGTTGGAGTCATCTGGAGGCTCAACTGGACGGGTCATCTAGGATGACTTCTTCATTTCTTACTGCTTGGCCTTCTTTTCTCTCTCCGTGTAGGTTAGCTTCTTCTTGCAGGGTGATCTCAGAGTAGTAGCACTTTCTATCTGGTAACTGTCTTTTTCTTTTTTTTTAATTTAAGATTTTTATTTATTTATTTGACAGAGAGAGAGAGAGAGGGAACTCAAGCAGAGGGAGTGGTAGGAGAAGCAGGCTTCCCGCTGAGCAGGGAGCCTGATGTGGGGCTCAATCTCAGGACCCTGGGATCATGACCTAAGCCCAAGGCAGCCGCTTAATGACTGAGCCACCCAGGTGCCCCTGGCAACTGTCTTCTAAGAGACAGGAAGCAGGAACTGCCAAGTTAGGGCCTGGATACACCTAACAACCGGCCCAATATTGTTCCTGCCATATTCTGTTGGTTTCAGTAGTCAAATGGGGTACAGAAATAGACACACTGTGGGTTTTCTTCCTCTTCTTCTTCTTTTTTTTTCTTTTAAGGTTTATTTATTTGCAAGAGAGAGAGCATGAATGGGGAGCAGCAGGCAGGGGGAAAGGGAGAAACAGGTTCCCCACTGAGCAGGGAGCCCAATGTGGGGCTCAATCCCAGGACCGTGAGATTGTGACTTAAGCTCAAGGCAGATGCTCAACCGACTGAGCCACCCAGATGCCCCTAGACACACTGTGTTTTGTTGTGGAAATGGCAAGGTCATGCTACAGAAGGAATGGGCTGAGATATATTTTTGTTGCCACCTTTGGGAAGTAAAACCTGCCACAGAAATGAAAACTTAGGGGCAATGAACAACAAAGGAGCTTCTCTTTGAAGCCCTTCTGGTGTTTTTATTACAGAAAAACAAATCCTTATAAAGTAAGATACCAGGGAAGAGAAATCAATAACCCTGCCCATCTATTCTATTATTGAAAAACTTCAAGGCAAATGAAATATGTTTTTATGCTTTAATGCTTTTAAATGGGAATGATGTGTGGTGTGTCAAAAGATTGCCTCAAAATAGCTCAGAGAAACATAACAAAATACAATGCACAAATTTAAAAAGTTACAAGAAACATTCTTATATTGCTATAATAATGCTCCATATGAAACTTTTCTAGCCTTTGGATATTTTACTTTTCTGAGTGACAAACTGATCCTATCCAGTGTTTTATTCCTGCCAGCATTTATTATTCCAATAATGTTAATTTTAAAAATTGGGTATTTTTAAACAGCAAACACTTGAAATTCTCATTTAGAACAATATTTTGTGGTGCATAGAGTCCGTTTTATCAAAATTTCTTATTGATTTAGTATGCAAACAATTTAAAAAATGCTGATATGCCAGGAAAACCAGAGGGTAATGGAAAAACCAAGATTTTAATTACA